GACGGAAAGCATATATGTTGCATGATTACACCAGTCCTTGTTTAGTTATTCTTGGACATTCTTAGGAACTGGATCAAGGACATGCAACAGAACAGATCATTGCATAATTACGACTTATATATTTCCTAAATATGCTTTACCCAGATCAGATCTCCATGGAACAGTGAGAGGAACTACATCATCTAAGTCACAGCGCCAGTAGTGAATTCCGCCACAAGCCAAGTCTTCAATGTTGAAGTTTGACCTGTAAAAGGGACAAGCTACGTCTATCCTAGATGATGCGTCTATACTGGTATGCTCTTTGCCATCCCTGTGTACAGTCATGTTGTATTTCTGTCCAACGAGCTAGCTGGCGTACGTATGGCAAAGCATCTTCCCAGCATCGAAAGAAGTACGAAAAGACTATACTGCCAAGAAGTTCCTTACTATAGTTGTGCAGTAGCGTCGTTGTTTAGATGACAGGGTTAAACTAGCATAAGTGATGGTTCTCTCTTCACCGTCTTAGATTTAAGATTGATATTTTAAAACTTATGGAGATCAATACACTAAAATCTGCACTATTTTACATCTACAAACTACATTCTACACTATTTCCCCTCCCTTTTATTTTTAAAATAAGAGAAGTAGTAATACCTAACTGTTCTAATTATTAATGTAGGAATACTAGAACTTATCTAAAGTAGTTTTTGCATATATAATTAGCTATACTGGTGTATTGACTATTGTACACATATTACTAAAGTACTATAATTGTGTAGGCAAGTCTATCAGTAATAATTCCACTAAACAATAACGACTAAACAGTACTGCAAGTTATAGTAATAATAATCATTTATGTTGGTAACATTAGTAAGCTAAGTATAATGATTCATTTATAGAAATCTAAACTGATAATAAATATCAAAATATAAGAACTAAAATACTATAAGTAAGTTAGTCAACTACCAACTACTTCCAGTTGAGAGTTAACTACCAGTTCTTGTTTAAATGTTAGTAGCTCGAATAAATTAGAGTTGAATAATGTTAGACTGCAATAAACTAATGTTATTAACACTACAGTCTACTGACCTAATACTAAGTACTAGAATATATGTACTTAAATGATTAGATTACTTCACTAATTTTATAAAAATCTTAACTAACACTAAGTTTTTCTAATTTACTTATATTGAAACCAACACACTAAGTATAGTAGAACTATAGCATATAGCTCTATACACTCTGGGTAAAAGCATTTTAGGTTTATTTTGCGAATGATCTAAGTCAATGTGATGGGCCATGGTACAACCCAGCACTTGTTCTCAAGTGGCAGCCCAGATGAAAAACACAGCCCACAGTAAACATACTGGAAGGCACAAACAAGGTATTTTCTGCAAGTAAAATGCAGGTCCTTGTTGGCAGCATTCCAAGTAAACTTGGTTGTGCCATCTGAGTTGTCACTTTTAGTGGTGGTGGTAAAATACACAGCTAGAGCTGGGACAGACACTGTATCATTGGAGTCACTGGAGAAGCTATCAGGGTATGTTTCTTCTTCACCAGTCTCTTCCATAGATATGGGCTCCTCTTCCTGAACTGGTGGTGTAAGGGATTCAGAGGTAGCCATATCTGTCTCATCTGTACCAAGCTCTTCACAGGAGGGCATCTGTATATTGCTGGATGCCAGAGCATTTACAACAGACTTGTTGCTATGCTCAGGCAACAGATCACTCCTAGGAGGCTGTGTATCCAAAGTCAAATCCGGGAATGGTTGGCAGTTGGATGTTATGTCAGAATCTGGATTTAAATGGCAACCAGCAGTTGAATGCTCACTACTCAGTAGCCATAACTCAGATGAACTGCCTTCAGGAACATTCTTGTCCTCTATGTCTGAAGTTGTTTGGCAACCAGCAGTTGAATACTCACTACTCGGTAGCCATAACCCAGACTTACTGTCATCAGTTTGGTCTCTATCCTCTATGTCTTCTGTGTGTGGAATTCCAGGAACTTGGGGATCATCATGTGACACCATGGTATTCCACTGCATACTAGCAGGTGATATATCACCACTCCGTATTTGTGGAAACCCTGGTAGACACTTGCTGGGAACTGTAGACATCTGCTGCTGGTGTACTGCAGTAGGCAGGTCATATGCACAGCTGCTGTCGTCATCTCCAGGTCTCATCAGTGCTGAACCAGTTCTTTGTTCCTGGTCAACGATGTTATTAGGAATTCCATTTGTTGACATAGTAGGACATTGTACAGCTGCCCCATCCTGTGAGTGTGCCAATGGTGGTGGTGGCATTGGTAGTCCTCCATACATGCATGGCTGTGGGTATTGCTGTTGAGGTACCATGTATCCAGGTGGGAACATTCCAGGATATGGGCCATATGCACAGGGTATGCTGGGATATGGCTGTGGTGGTCCAAGGAATGGTTGTGGTATTGGTCCACCATATCCAGGAAATGGCACTGGGTAGCTCCCAGGAACTGGTACACAAGGATAAGGATACCCACTTTGGCCTGGGTTGAGAGATGGCATGTATGGTCCACCATAGTATCCAGGAGGTGCTGCACAAGGTGTTATAGCTGGATTAATCTTGTTGCTTTCAGTAGTTCAAAGTTACGGAAATGATCACGCCGTTTGATACTACTGAAACAGTCAGTCGGAGAATGTGTGTATATTGCTGTACGTTATACGCTATTTCCACGTCACGGTAAAACGAAACCGCCGGTGAAAATGTTACACACTAATCATTTGCTAATGGCAATGCGACTGATATGCAACACGTTCTATTTGATCACCGTGATCTGAATTAAACGTCACTTTAACACAGTATAATTGTAATTGTATTTTAGCCGGTTTAATTCATCGGTATAGTCTAGGTAATTTTACACTGCGTCTATTCTTTCTATCCTCTTCTCTCTATCTTCTTTTATCTTTAATGTTTTCTATCTTTATTTTCGATTACTGATGAATTAAACTTTACTTTAACACAATGAATAATTGTATCTGAGCCGGTTTAACTCAACAGTAAAGTTCCTGGCGAATTAGTTAGATTTTTCTCTTTTCTTTCTATCCTTTTCTCTCTATCTGTATATCGCTGGTAGTTATATGAATTGATAGTGTTTCCTCTATCTTTGCTTTTATTTGATAATTCGGTATTGGTCCAAAATATTAATTCTGTTATCTATCTCTTAATTAATTACTTAATCTGTAAATTAACTTGCTTAATAAATTACCGCACTGACTCTTACAACGTTAATGTAAACGCCCGATGGCAGACGGCGGTAGCAGTAAGCACTGATGTTAAGAAAATAAATACAAACAAAATAAATCAAAGAATATAATCAATTAATGACGTTATATGAATTGATTATATTTTTGCAAAGATATTCACTGTTGTTGCACAGAGCTAATATGTAAAAACGTAACTCGACAAAATCAGTTCACTGTTGTTCAAAGCGAGCACGTGCGCCTTGATCTATATATAGCTAAAACAGGTAAACCGGTTTGAGTGAACTAGCTCTGTGAAACTACATATACATAAAACTAACAAAAACACTATATATCTCTACTTTCCCCCAAAATATTTTTTTAAGGGAACTTAGAGAAGGAAAAAAACAATATATGAATATACTAATCAAATTACGAATCGAGAAGAAAACGGCGCTCCTCGAAAATTGTCAACACGAGTGACAATAACTTTTCAATAGAAAAAAAAAAAACTATTTGTCTCGTGCAAAAGGATAAATTAATTTATACAAACAATTTCAGAATGAAAATCAATCGTTGTGGTACAAGTGGCCGGAATTGAATGAACCAAGAAGAAGAAAAAATAATGCAATTTGCACAAGACAATGACTGAATGAAAATATTCTAAATTTTCGTACTGACGTTTACAAAAACGCCCTTACGATATTGTACACTAAATAGTAATGAAAATATTCACAATTTTCGCACTAACGCTTACAAAAAACGCTGTACGATAAATATAATACTAAATACTAATGAAAAAATAATTGGAACGTGATATCACCACGTGTTCAAATGCGACTCACGCGTGAAAAAAAAATAACCTGGCAAATTAGTCAAATTGTTGGAACTTTGCAAATAACGTTAATTTAAACGCCTGTAAGCAACAGTTTTCTAAAATGACTTAATGCAAAACATTCCACGTGAGTGTTTTTTATAACTCACGAGTGACAGACAATTCACACGTGAATTTTGTAAATAAAAACATGAAAATTCAATGCACCCCGCACCGAATTACCGGCGACGCCAATGTAGTAAAATATGACATTTTACTATAAATAAAGTCGCCTACCTTAAAGTAAGTATACAACTAAGGTGACGACGGAAAACCAAATTCTACATGGTGAATACGGTACAGGTACAACAAACAAGGGAAAAGGTAACACACGTGGTGACTACAGATAGGACTGGACTGGACTGACGATAGGAAGCGTGATGGCCAGCACGGGTGGATGGCTATGAGGTCAGGGTGATAGGTCATAGGGAATATATTAACATACACAATTTCACTACAATAGGCCTAAAGCCCTTCGGGATTTGATCATGTGACCAACCAGTTTTTCATTCCAATAAAACTGAAAAAATTATACTTTATTTCTTAAATGTTTTATTCACATAACTCAATAAAAAATCAAAACATAAGATAGGGGTCCGTGCGCTTCTTTTAGAACGAAGGAGCAATTAATATGACCTTTTTGCACTTTAATTACGTCTAGCACATAATTCAATTTTTCAGTTTTCCATAAATATTTATTATCCAAATGAATTATTGGATCAAACACAGGTTTTTTTTCATCTGAAATAGTCACATTAAAAACTGTGACAATTAACAAAAAGAGTTTCAAATTACTTTGCATATTTCCTTTCTATGTTTTTCTTGTCTTGGCTCTGTTTTTTTTTCTTCAATAAATTAATTTTTACAGATGTTTGTCCGAGCGTGACTCAAGTTTTTTTCAATGATCGATGTTTCTGGAAGCTTGACACGAAAATGAATTTCCTAAATGCACACGAAATTTGTCAAATACACGGCGGTATCCTCACAGATGTTCCAGATGAAGAAACTGATCAGATGCTTTCACGGTAAGTAGTGCATTAATTTAAAGTTACGGAATTCCTTCACATCTTAAATTACTGTGAAATCACTAATTTTTTCGGGGGTTTAATTTTCGTTGTTTTCGAGGGATAAAGCGACCCATGAATTCATGTTCCCCACGAAATGTAAAATTTTATATACTCAACTACTAACATGTTCTTTATCCACGAAATCAAATAACCATGAACCAACATTTTTTCTCAAACCTCGAAAATTTAACCCCACGAAAATATTTTACAGTATCTTAATCGGAACATAAATTAAAAATTTTAAAGTAGGCAAATAATAAACTCCAAAAATAGGAGGTTACTTGCACTTTGATTAGTTGATATTACCGGCAAAGAATATAGTGATTCCACTTGAGAATATTAAAAATAAAAGAATGCTTAATACTGTAAATCACTTTTTATTTGCAAGAACTTTATTTTCGCGTAATTACGCGAGACAGTGTGCTCGCGAAAATTAAATTCTCGCGTATAATAGTATTCCTTAAGATTATATAGAGCAATAACCACAATTCGTGAAAATTTTGTCTCGCTAATCAAGAGTCAATGACTATATCGTGAAAATAAGGTGTCGCGAAAATTTAGTGATCTACAGTACTCGTAGGCACTTGATCCCACTTCTGCCAATGGGGGCCTGTGTTTATTCTCTGTGTACAGATTCCACAGACACTTGTTTCATAAATAAATTTAACGCAAAGTAATAATAATATTATTATACTATTGGTTAAATTACCAGAACGCCGCCTCATAGACTTGTGTTAAAGCTTTCGGAAACTAAAATACGTTAAATTGAAAGTGAATTTGAGATCGGTGCCGAATTTGAAAGTTAATATTTTTTGAATTTTTTTTTTTTTTTTTTTTTTTGCTTGTGCGGGAAACATGAAGATTTATTCAGCCAAGAAATACATGTATCATATTCCCCTCAATCGAAGCCCTTGGGGAATATGATTTTTCTTGGCTGAATAATATATGGTTATTGAACTTATATTGGTGAATATTGGCACAAGTTGGCTGTATAAATAAACGAGCTTGCATCTTACCCAAATGCCACTTCCTTTCTTTAATTTACTCTGAGAATTTGACCAGACGACTTTTTTTGGTTTACAACGAGGCGTTCGATATCGAACGCTCGTATTCGGAATGTTTCGGGCATTCTCGTATACGTAATACAAACTCAGTCTTCGATAAAACGTCAAGATATTGAATGCTAAAATTCTCTAGATTTTTGGAAGTATTTCATTAGAGATTTTTTTAGCTTTATAATAGATCTTGATATTTCCCTCACTATCATGCAATAAATGTGTAATATCTCCCTGTTAAGATCTTCATGAACAGTCAATATTAATGATTGATATTATACTTTCAAGTAAATTAGTTGAATCTGATTGGTCGATAAACATTTGTTAAAAAACACTATTATCCGCTGAATAATGAAGCCACGCCCTCCAGTGTAGCATCAGTCAACATTGCTTGACGATGGGTGATATTCCAAAAAATAGCGACTGCGCAGAATTTATGCGCGCACGGTTCACTGTAATATGTATTTGTATAAAACATTCAGTATAATATAATAAATATTGTATGTAGTTGAGTGTAACATTGAAAATTTTCACCCCTCGAAAACTATTGTCAACCTCGGCTGTTGTGGTTAGTTATTTTCAGTGTTACACTCAACTACATGCAATATTTATATAATACATCATGTTGTATTTCAGGTACTTTGGACAAGACTATTGGATTGGTATTAATGATATCTATAACGAAGATCAGTTTGTTGATATGAGGAATAGATCTATTGTCTATAAAAACTGGTGTTATCATCATAATCAAAGATATGAGCAACCAAATAATTGGATGTATTATAATAACACGGAGATAATGGAAGCAGATTGTGTTAGGAAGCATGAAAGCGGATGGTTTGATGATCTTTGCACATTTGAGTACAAAGCCATATGTTCTAAAAAGATCGCATGTACGTTTATTTTCATCATAAAATGAAATAAAATAAAATAAGAGAATCACCGATTTTCACATATGATTTCTGAACTGATCATGTGCACCTTTTTTCTTTTCTTATAGTAAATTGCACAACTGAGATGATAAAAAATCCTAGCAGTGATATAGAGCTCTGGATAAGTGAAGAAGCCACTTCCTTCTTTAAGGCCGATAGAAATTGTCAAGCACAAAATGGAACTTTCGCAGAAATAACGGATAATTTGACATTGCAGTTGTTGTATGAAACGTACCGGTAAGTTTTTCTTGCAGTTGAATCTGACTGTTCTCATTCCTAGTATCTTCATTTTTAGGGTGCATTTTTTTCGGGACTGGGTGGGTGACAGGAATTAGAACCAAGAAAATTAGAATATAAATGCACAATTACTTTAAATTTGAAATTTTGGGAGAGAAAAACTGTTTAACATTATATACCTCACATTGCTATAAGGAAACATTGATTTTTGAAAAGGCTACTTATTAAAGACCCACTAATATTTAAATCCTATAAGAAGTATAAAGTTCTTTTAAAATGTCTCGACAACCCAGTTTGCTCTTGGTTTTTTTTCTTTCTTTTTCTCATCTCATTAAAAATTACTTTTTTTGAATTAGCTAGAATTTATTTACCCAGTATAAGAAGTATATACCGGTATATACCGCGGGGTATATATGATGAAAATCTATAAAATAAAACATAAAAAAGAAAACAGATATTTTTTAAAAGCAAATATATCTCCATTTTTAAAAATATTATACATTTAAGAAAAGCATTAGACTGAATAGTGAAGAAGCACTGAATAAGAGATTAAAAAAATATTTTTACAAGCATTATTTTGTGTTAACAAAAACTTGAGAGAAATATAAATTTATGCTGATCAAGGGCTTTTTTAGGTCACTTGAGCCAAAGGCTCAATAAAACTTTTCTGAACAAAGAGTGTTCGCTGTCCGCGTCTGCTGTCTCTCGTCTGTACACGTCACATTTTTGACTTCTCAAGAACTAGGCCAATATTATCGTCCAAACTTGCTGCAAGGTATTCTTGTGTAAAAGGGATTCACATTTGCTCACAGGAAGTGCTGCTGCGCATTTTTATTTTCCATTTTTTATTTGTTTTCTCTGTGACAACTCTTTGAAAGTTAGTGGAGTTAATTACTTGATAATTCTACCGGAATGTAAATTAGGTAGGTCGATAGGTCAGGAGCTAAGGAGGCCTAATATGCATGTAAATCTCGCGTCTGTTTTTTGTGTCTTCCGCTAAGGAGGCTAAATATGCATGTAAATCTTGTGCGACAATCTTCGCGTTTGACATCAATGGGCTAAGACTATTGAAATTGAGTCAGCGTCGTTGTAAACTTTTCACACTTTCATCTTCTCAAGAACCACTGGGCCAATTTCAACCAAACTTACCACAAAGTAACCTTGGGTGAAGAGAATTCAAGTTTGTTCAAATTAATGGCCATGTCCTCTTCTACGGAGAGATAATTATGAATTAGAAAATGATTGGTATCTATTAAAAATTTTCTTCTCAAGAACCACTGGGCCAGGAATGATGAAACTCAAGTGGAGTTATCTTCAAGTACAAATCATGACCCCCGGGGATAGGGCGGGGCCACAGTGGCTGATCAAAATTTTACATTGGAATATATAGGAAAAATCTTTAAAAATCTTCTTCTCAAACACTGCAAAGCCATGATTGGTGATATTTATATGGAAGCATCCTCAGGTGGTGCAGATTCAGTTTTATTCAAAACGTTACCCCCGGGGGTTAGGTGGTTCCACAAAAGATGATCAGTTTTACATAGGAATATATAGGAAAAATCTTTTTTTTTAAATTCTTCTCAAGAACAGTGAAGTTATTATTGGTCATATTTACATGTATATAGAAGCATCTATATGAAGGTGGTGCAGATTAACTTTTTACAAATTATGACCTCCTTGAATAGTTTGGGACCACAAGGGACTCTAGGAAAAAATCTTTAAAAATCTTCTCGAGAACATCAAAGCCATGATTAGTCATATTTATATGGAAGCATCCAGAGGTGGTGTAGATTCAAGTTTGTTCAAATTGTGACCCCAGGGGGAAGGGTGGGGCCACAGTGGACAACCAATATTTAACATGGAATATATAGGGAAAAAATCTTTAAAAATCTTCTTCACAATAACATCAAAGCCAGGTCAAATTTATGTGAAAGCATCCAAGGTAGTGTAGTTCAAGTTTCTTAAAATCATAGCCCTTGGGGGTAGGATGGAGCTACAATGGACAATGAAAGTTTAGCATAAGAGTATAAAGGAACAATCTTCTTCTCAAGAACAGCAAAGCCATTGTTTGACTTTCACTGGAAGTATCCCCAGATAGTGTAGATTCAAGTTTGTTTAAATTGAACCCCTTCCCCCTTACCCCTTCTGACTTTTAGGAGTAGGTCTGGACCACTCATGCATTTAAGCTTTTTAATACCAAACTGATTTTTGCTTTTTTCTTAGCCAGGGTACTCAGGTGAGCAACGTGGCCCCTGGGCCTCTTGTTTAACCATGGAGACACTTGACACACTTTGAAAAATATGTATAAAACCAAAAAAATTGGACTGAGGTTCTAGTGATTAGACTACATGTATATCATTTTGTTATGATTTATACATATTCTTCCAAAAACTGGTGAAATAATCTTTCCTCATCGAAAACGAGGAAAAGACAGGTAGAAGATCCCAACTCTTTGTATTTCCTACCCAAATATACATGTACATATTCATATAAATGGTATGACATTGATATATTTCCTCTCTAGAATGAGAATATATATAGAAAAAAATAAAAATTGAGATAATATTTCTAGAACAAGAGGCCCATGGGCCACATCGCTGACCCGAGAAGCTTTGACCATTCTGTTCTTTACCAGATTTCCCCCTTGTAATACATATTGTGACTCACCCTACCCCACAGATCATAATTTAGACAATTTGAAACCTACACTACCTCAGGATGCTTCCACATAAGTTTCAGCTTTTCTGGCCAAGTGGTTCTTGAGAAGATTTTTAAAGTTTTTTTCTATATATTTCTATGTAAAACTTTGATTCCCCATTATGGCCCCACCCTATCCCCGGGGGTCATGATTTGAACAATTTAGAATCTACACTACCCCAGGACGCTTCCACATAAGATTCAGCTTTTCTGGCCCAGTGGTTCTTGAGAAGAAGATTTTTTAATGACCCAACCCTATTTTTTTCTTTTCTGGATTATCTCCCCTTTTGAGGGGGCTTGGCCCTTCATTTTAACAATTTTAATTTCCCTTTACCCAAGAATGCTTTGTACCAAGTTTGGTCTAAATTTGCCCAGTGGTTCTTGAGAAGAAGTCGAAAAATGTGAAATACAGAAATATTTAATTTTTTCTTATTCAGAAGAGCAAAGCCATGATTAGCAACATTGATGTAAAGGCATCTAGAGGTAGTGTAAATTTAACTTTGCCCTTCAATACTGGATCGATTTCGGCTTTTTCCCAGCCAATGTGCTACGATAAGCGATGTGGCCAATGGACCTGGAACACAGGCACCTGAGTGACGGTACTTATTTTTCTTTTAATAAAAAAAAATATATACCCCTACCTAATAATAAACCTTAGGTAGGGTTATATATTTTTTATTAATAGAAAAATAAGTAACGTCAGGTGCCTGTGACCTTGAATTGTTATTTTTTTAAGTTAATCAAACATCTCAATGTTATTTTATTTTCTTTACCCAAAACTTTTTTTGAATAAAGGAATGAAAATTGGTCAGAAATTTGGATTGGTGCTCATGACCTAGTTTTAGAAGGATACTTCATGAATATTCGAAATGAGACTCAGTGTTTTGGGCGAGAAGGCTGGAAAACACTTATTTACAATTCCGACACTTCTGACTGCGTAGCGTTTAATGGTTCAATGGTATCAAAATTTGTTATATTGCCGTGCGACACCGAACTTCCAGTTCTATGTTCTTCCAGCTACGAAGGTAATATCTTTTCTATATATTAACTCAAGCAAAAGTATCTATCATATGAATATAGTCTTAGTCTATAGCTTCATCTTTTTCAAAATAAGCCATTCAAAGTTTGTTTTTGTTAAGTGTCTAACTTCACTAATTTTCCCACAATAAACATAAAAAAATCCGCTACATAAACACAAAAACTGAAACACAGAGCTAGCGCAGATGATTTTGGAGAAAGAGCATCCACCCCCTTCACATAAATCACAGGCTATTAAAATTTTTCCATGAATAATACTTCAGTGAATAAATGTGATTTGATCCTTATTATCAAATTCAGGAAATTACACGGTATCTACCGTAAAACAAACATTTAACAGTCATTACTAATTTTTCATATGAACATCAACTACGGTATACAGCTACAACATCACCATATACCGGCTCAACAAGTATATCATAATCTCTTTCCTAAACAGATCCTGTACCATCAACTACAACTACATCAACGAGACCCTTCTATTCCACATCAACATCACTATCAAAAGCCGACTCCGTACCATCAACTACAATAACATCGTCAACAACCGGTGTCTCCACTTCGGTGTTACAATCAACAACGGACACAGTACCATCAACTACGACAAAATCAACGAGAACCGTCGGGTCCACTTCGGTATCAACATCAACAACTGGTTCTGTACCTGCAACCCAAACTACATCGTCAACAACCGGTAGTTCAACATCAGTATCAACATCACCTTCAGCTACTTTGTCAACAGCTGTCAGCTCCACATTGGCGTCAACATCAGCAACTTATTCTGTACCATCAACTACAACTTCAAGTTTAAAAACCGTTAGCTTCACTTTGGTATCATTTTCCTTGTCAACATCTACACCTAAATCATCAAGCACGGTAACATCGTCATCCTCCTCAACAGACACCTTCCCATCGGCACACGTATCCTCATCCATGTCAACGACTAATCTTACGAAATCAACTACAGCTACCTTTGTGAACAAAGGTAGTCTTTTAAATATCAAAAGGCATTTTGTAGAAATGTACAATAATATCACTGGATTGTGCCTGCTTGGTGCAAGAAGGATATGGAGATAACGAACAGTATTAATTAATTCTTTTAAATAATTTGACTTATACTTTTAGTTGACAATTGTTAAATAATTTACAGGTGTCTGAAAATTTGAACCCATATAGTGGCCCAAGGGACCTGAAAATAATGTTTAAAATTTTAATATATTTTAGGCCATCTCCTTAGAAATCTTACGTATGAAATGTGAATGGTACGTGTCCTTAACAAAAAGAAAAGGAGAAGCACATCGATCTTGCACTTACCCAATCGATATGTTTTTTTTTTTTATTAAATTGATATTCCGGTATCTATGGATCAACCTATTAAAATTAAAAGATATATATTTGTATAGTCATCTGTAAAACGTCATGCTTTTGTATGAGTAAAATGACTGAACATGCAAGAATTTCATACTGAAAAGAAAAGTAGAAATGAAATTTAAAAAATTAAGTTTATAAGAGACCAACATTTTTTTTCAAGGTTGTATGTGTCCATGCGAGCGCATGAAAAATCAGGTCATCATTACGGACAAGAAAGTGCTCATAGCCAAAATAGCAAAAATGAAGAAGGAGTTGAAAGTCAATAAAGCCGATTTGAATAAACAGCTTCGCAAACGATTATCTGTCTTTGATAAACATGCCTCTGCCGTTGCCGTTGGGACGATATTTGGACCACTAGTCATCGCATTTTTCATTGGAATCATCGTCATCAGCGATATACCAATAATGATGCGTCATCTTAAATACGGTCTATGCAGAAAAGCTGGAAAGAAGAAAAGGAAAAGAAGAATTCGTTCTGATGATGTCCGAGGATGTCCAGTGGATGTCCAAAAGGACAAAGCTGGAATTCAGGAGCAAGAGATGGTCGACAATCCAGCTTAAAACTTATATCTGTATTTTCATTCATTAGCTGAATCGATATATCTCGAATATCGATAGTGTGGAAAATCACTGAAATAACTAAAATTACTCAAAGGTCAAAATTGTTGGTACCCAGTGGAAGGTCTTCTCACAAGGAATACGCGTGTGATGTAACAAATCCCTGTACTAACGGTTAAAAAGTTATGGTCAATTTTAAGTTTTTTAAGTGTGTCAAACTCTAAGTTCAATGTCAAAATTGTTGGTATCCAAAGACAGGTCTTGTCACAAGGAACACACCTGTGAAATATGAAAGCCCTAGCACTAACGGTTCAAAAGTTAGGGTCTATGTTAACGTTTTAAAAAAAGTGGGCTAACTTTTAAGGTCGAGATCAAAAGGTCAAATATTTTTACACCCAACGAAAGCTTTTGTCACAAGGTGTACAACTGTGAAATATGATAAACCTAGTTCTAACGGTTCAAAAGTTATGATTTCATTACACTCGGTGAGATATTTCCACATTATTTCTCCATTTTGAACGACAATAAGAGAAAATTAGAAAAATTGGATATCCACCATTTTAAATCGCCATTTTGACCTTTTTAACGCCTTTTTCATGAAGGCCAGCATATTCAGCATATACTCGAAATAGATTTTTTTTTAAAAACTATGCTAGACCAAATGATGATTTTTTTGTTATTATAATTATTTTTTCTATTTATCGGACCAGACTATTTTATTAAAATGCAAATTGTTGATTTCTGTTAAAAAGAAAATCATTCAACGTAAAATAAATGATCTGGCAAAGTTAAAGATGCCCTAACTTTTTAGGTACATAATTATATCCCGTACACTCTGTATATTATTTTTCCCCTGAAATGAGGGTGTTGCGTTTCTTTTGAGTTTCAGTATATATCAAATATGCATTACTACATTTTCCATCCACGAAATTCAATCCCAACAGACCAATATTTTTATCCTCAAACCTAAAAAAATTTACCCAACGAAAATTTGCGATTTTACAGTATAATACATTATGTTGGATCGTTTTGGGATGACTTATTTCATACTACATATAGTAGTTTGATAGATCTACTAGTCAGAGACCAGAAGAGCTTAATAAATGCGATAGTAATGCGTCCATCGTCCGTCCGTTTAGCTGTCTGTCCGTCTGTAAACAATTTTTCAAAGTGGGACTCCTCCTTCCATTTTGGTTTGATTTCAATATAACTTGGCACACAAGCAGACTGCACTAAGATACATGACCGGTAATTCTGTATATTGGTTTTTAATTTCGATGAACGGTATTGTCAAGGCTACTAAAAATATACATTTATTGACCAAGTTCGAGGGCAACATGCGTTTTGCTCTTGAAAGATCTTGAGGATATTTTGGCCAACAAAAATAACCAACAAAAATTTGTATGAAAGTAAGTCCTTTTGTAAAACGGGCCCCAGGTCCGTCACTTTTGACAGCAAACCAACTATATATATTACTCGAACACTCTTACCGACTAGAACTGCAAAAACACGCTGCAATAATCCTCCTTGACAAATTATATGGCTTCCCGTTTTAGGCGTTTACATTCGGTGCTATATATCTCACCGAAAAATATTCGTCACTTGTATAAATCATGCAGGGGAAACAGCAATTAAACAGCGCACCTCCAGGGTGACCACCTCCAGCTGGTCACGCTACCGGACACCAAACTAGATCTGACCACCCTGACAAAACCGGTCCCTTTATATACTCGTAACAAAATAGTCTCAAAAGTATGGAACCCCGTTAGAACAAAATTAAAATAATATATACAAAACAATAATCAACTTCTTCACATACGCCCCCATTTATTTGCCAATATGAACAATATTGTAAATAAATCTAAATAAAATTGACTCAACTAATACGTCCTTGATACAAAGTCAGCTAATTTGTTGTCTTTACCTCGATGCCTCACTGTATACATGTACTTGTACTCTTGTAAAATCAGACTCCAAGGAAGAAGTCTAGGATTCTGTGACTTCATCATCTTAAACCACTGCAACGCTCTGTGATCCGATTCTATGATGAAATGCTTACTATACAAGTAGTTTTGAAGACGCTGCACCACCCATACAATCGCATAGCCTTCTTTTTTCCACAACGGCGAAGTGCTGTTCCCTTGAAAGTAATTTTTTTTTACTGATATATAGAATTGGATGGTACTCTGTATCCTTCTCCTGCAATAAGACCGCCCCCAGTCCTCTGTCGCTTGCATCAGTTTGTAACACAAACACCAATGTAAAGTCTGGATTCCAGAGTACGGGTACACTTACCAGATTCTTTTTCGGCTGCCTAAATGTCCTATCATGTTCCCCTGTCCATATGACTGTGTTTGGCTGTATTTTTTTAGTAAGATCAGAGAGTGAAGCAGACAAAGAAGAAAAATTGGGAATAAACTTCCTGTAAAAGTTCATAAACCCTAAGAATGATCTTACGTCTTTATATTTGTTGGAACAGGAATATCTAAAATAGCCTGTACTTTGTCTGAAGATGGCTTTACCTGACCATTTCCGACCTTGTGTCAAAGAAATTCCATTTCTCTACAACCAAACTCACATATGGGCTGTTAATCCTTCGTCCTGAATAGATCTTAAAACTACAAAATTAATGTAATCTAATGTGTTCAAGGTGACTAGGCCAGTCCTTACTGAAGATAATATCGTCAATAAAGGAATCTGAATACTCCTGATGACCTGCTAGTATTTGTCTAACCAATCTATTAAAAGTGGCTGCCGAATTCATCATTGCAAACGGCATCACACTGAACTGATAATGACCGAATGGAGTGATGAATGCACTTTTTTCTTTGGAGTCATCTTCTAGTGTAATCTGCAAATAACCCTTGGTCAAATATATCTTACTTCGATACTTAGCCTAGTCACCTAGTCGATCAATGATATCCTCAATTTGAGCATTAGGTTCTGGATCGGAAACAGTTACGTGGTTTAACCTCCGATAGTCTACACAAAACCCGATACTCTTGTTTTTCTTAGGTATAATAACGACAGGTGATGAATAAGGACTAACTGACTGCTAGATACAATCAGCTTCTATCACTGCATATAATTCCTTCTTCACTTCGTCTCTCAACATATTTGGAATCTGATATGGCTTTTGACACACAGGAACATCACTAGTAGTTACCACCTTATGTTTCAGTAAGCTAGTTCTACATGGTACATTTGTCAACACACTACTAAACTTTTCTAAACATCTCTGTAACTCACCTGTTTGTTCCTGTGATAGCGTCTGTGCTATCTTCACATCCTTTACCGTATCCCTTACATCAATCAAAGGATTTCCTATCCACTCATTGTCATCTGATATGTCTAGCGAACAAACTGCTGTTGCTACATGTACTACCTGGTCAGCATCTCTCTCTATCTATCTCTTTAACAAGTTGACGTGGTACACCTTAGTTACCCCATTATATTACTTTTACCTTATAATCTACGTGACTTGCCTTCTTCGTAATAGTAACAGGTCCCTTCCAATGAGCCAATAACTTGTAGGTACAGTACCTTTTCTCCAACCTCAAATGACCTATGTCTCGCTTTTCGATCGTAGTACCTTTTCTGTTCTTTCTTACTAACTACCTCATTCTCCAGTACAATATCTGCCATTTTTGCCAACTTCTCTCTGGTTTCTATAATGAAGCTGAGTACTGATGGTTGTAAGTGATGATCTTCATCACCTTCCTCCTCAATGCTTTCCCTAAGAATGGTCAAAGGACCCCTTACAAATCTTCCATACATCAGCTCGAAAGGAGAGAATTCCGTGTACTCCTGTGGAACTTCTCTATACGCAAATAATAAATATGGCAACAACTTGTCCCACTTATCTAATTCGTCTTTTGCGTATATTTGAAGGATTTTCTTTAGTGTGCCGTTGAATCTTTCCACCAGCCCGTTTGCCTGTGGGTGGTAAGGTGTGGTGTTCAACTTACGAATGCTTAACAAGCGACATAACTCTGTCATAGGAGAGGACATCAAGTTTGTACCTTGATCTGATAGTATCTCCTTTGGGACCCCAACTCTCGAAAACACCTCCACTAACGCCTCAGCTACTACCTCTGCCTCTTGACTTCTAAGTGGTATCGCCTCGGGATATCTTGTTGTGTAATCGCACAGAACTAGAATGTACTGATTAACTCTATTTGTTCTGGGTAATGGGCCCACTATATCAATATAGCTACCCTTTGAAACGGCGTCTCGATTGGCGGCACCTGAATTAAAGGAAGCTTACTTACTCTAGTTTTGGCTGTTCTCTTCAGGCACTTGGGACGTGACTTGTAGTACCTCTTTGTGTCCTCAAAAATACCTGGCCAGAAGAAATTCATCAGAATTCCTTCTCTTGTCTTCTTAGATGCCAAGATGTCCCGCAAGTGGAATGTCATGACCCATCGATAGTATTTGTCTTTTAAATTTTCTGGTACTACTAACTGTTTTAGTAGACTGTCTTTATCCGTTTTGAGAACCCTGTATAACAAACCTTTCTCCTTTGTTATGTAGCTTTCGCCATAGTCTGCACCCTTATTATCTATACGCTTTCTGAACCTATCAATACTCGGATCTTTACCTTGTTCTTGTATCCACTCTTCCTTTGAATCCATGACATTCACATCAGAACCGAGCTCCAGTTTCTCTTCTACCTGACTGTGTTCTGTTCGTTTTGCTGCAGATCATGCTTCTTCAGCTTGACAAGCCTCATCTAGGGACTCTCTCACTTCATTTTGTTGTCATATTCATGTCCAATAGACATATTTCTAGTTTTAAAATCTTCTTCTCCAGAACCACTGGATCAGGAAAGATTGAACTCATGCAGAATCATCCTCAGGTAGTGTAGATTCAAGTTTGTTCAATCATGACCCCCGGGGGTAGGGCGGGGCCACAATGGCTGATCTAAGTTTTGCATGCGAATATATATAAGAAAAATCTTTTAAAATATAAATTCTTCTCCAGAACCTTTGAGCCAGGAAAGATAAAATTTATGTGGATTCTAAGC